GCACTTACATTTGGGTTAGCCGGTGTATGTGTCGGTGTGCCCGTCATCGCCACAGGTGGTAATGACACCAACTGCAGCACGAGATCATCCAGATCGCTACCTACACCATCCTCACTGTCGACCTCACTCAGTTTCGTATACGCCTGTGCTATATCCAAACCCGTGTCCGTACCGAACTTCCCGCCACCCAAATCCGTCCCAGTACTATTCCGGGACGCGTTTGTACCAGCGCTCAACCGGGTATCCCTGGAGACGTTCTGATTGGTCAGGATGATGTACCCCATGCCGTGAGCGGTGATCTTGGCACATAACTCGGCCAACTCAGCGACCACCCGGATCACTCGAAGTGTCCTCCGCACCATAGATTCGGACCGAAACGTACCTTTTTTCGCTGAGCCGGTAATGTGGGCTAGTTTTGCCCTTTTGTTCGTATCTACGCAGTTGTGGGTGGGTAGGGGATGCAGAGGAGAACGGCTCGTGTGGGTGAGTGGATACTGTTGATTTTGTACATTATTTCTAAATATGTGTTCTGTTTTGGAATTGCATTGTACGGATACGTAGCTCCGTCGTTTCGTCCGCTACCACTCCCCTGAATGTATGTCCATAGCGCTCCAGTTTATGCGTGCATAGATGTGTCTATAAAACACCATGTGTACGAGTTGCTTGTACGTACGTATGATGTGCAAGGATTGTACGTACGTATGATGTGTAAGGATTGTACGTACGTATGATGTGTAAGGATTGTACGTACGTACACACTCAGATGGAACCGCTTCGTCCGTGTTGGTGACATACCGTTCGCCTCTGTGCGACTTTGTTGAAAGCACATATAAAGCCCTAAACCATAAGACACCAACACACACGTACACAAACCCAAAATATTAAACCACTAAAACCCAAAACATTCAACTACTAAAACCCAAAACATTAAACCACTAAAACCCAAAACATTAAACCACTAAAACCCAAAACATTAAACCACTAAAACCCAAAACATCAAACTACTAAAACCCAAAACATTAAACCCGTAAAACCCCAAACCCTAACCCTCTCGTCAGCTCATACGCCCACACATATCCGTAACCAACACCTTGTGCACAGCTAATAGACCCACACACAGCCCACACAACATCGTACCATGTTGGAAAGGCATCCTCCGCTTGCCTCCGGTGGTCTCCCGTGTGTGTACGTCTGTGTCTGTGTGCTGTCGGGTGCTGTGGCTGTGGCTGTTGCTGTGGCTGTGGCTGTTGCTGTGGCTGTGTGTGTTCTTGGGCGCGTGAGACCGCTTGTCGTACGGTGCACTATACGACACAACGGTCACTCTGTCAATTTGTAACACGCTGTTGGAAACCCCCATGGCCGTGGCGCTGCGCATGATGACGCCGCAAAGAGTTATCGTTAATATATATGAAACATATCGCAAATTCTCGGACAGCTATATCCGTTTGCGAGAACTGTTTCGATGATATGAAGTGGATTCCATGCTTGGCTCGGCTGTATATGGAAGCGCACTGTTACTATATAGCACAGTACTATGACTGTATAGATGAGTATATCGTAAAAAAACAGTGTAACCTATATAGCAAAAAAAAATTCGTTTATAAACAGTGTAACCTAAATAGTAAAAAAACAAAGCAACACGCGTGCACAGGCAGTCACGCGTGCACAGGCAGTCACGCGTGCACAGGCAGTCACGCGTGCACAGGCAGTCAATGCAAAGCTATGCAGTCCCTGACCTCGACTAAACCCTAAAACCTAAAACAAACTTACAAGACTTGTCAACCAAAACGAATACATGCAATCGAATATACAAAATAAGCCCAGAGCAGGTACTACACCGCACACGAGGGGCATAGCCATATGCAGATACACAAACATGTGTGTATATATCACGCACGCGCACATTGGACAAATGCGTCTATAAGTATATACATATACATATACACCCACACACACACACATATATATATATATATACTTTAATATATATATATATAAGAATCCTTTGGTAGATCATTTAACACACCTGATGTCAAATGCCTCCATCGAGAAATCGCTATTCACTCGAAAGGCACAAAACCTACACGTGGCAGCACCGTACACACGCACATAGATAACGCGTGGGATGGCGTGTACGTTGTGTACGTTATTTGTTGGTCTTGTCGTGGCAATAATTGTACTGGTTGTCGCATACGACACGGAACTCGTGCCCAGGGCAGACGGGGCCCGGCCCCAGTTGTCATTCTGCGGGTTGTGATTGGTTGATGGACCAGGAGTAGATGCTGGTGTTGATATCGGAGTGTTTTGGTTGGTGGAAGGCCGTGTGTTGTGGGCTGTTTGCGCTGTTTTGATTGGTCGTTTGGGCTCAGGCAGTACCACTGGTGTGAGTGTGGGCAGCCGCTCAAACACATCGAGGCCTAAATCCCGAGCCACTATGCGTACACCGATGAGGACCAATTCCTGTGGGTAAATGGGTGCAGATAGTAGGATGAACAAAAGGGTGCATGAGGACCAGTTCCTGTGGGTAAATGGGTGCAGATAGTAGGATGAACAAATGGGTGCATGAGGACCAATTCCTGTGGGTAAATGGGGGCAGATATTGGCATGGATGGTTAGCGTATAGTGGGGAAGTATGTTGAATGAATTGATATATATGGGAACGAGTTGTGGTATCCATGTTTACATCTACTGGGATAGATAGCTGGGTGTCTGGAGTGAACAAAACAAGAATTGAAATCAGCGCATGTCATATTGAGGACGCATCACTACCCTTCATTTATAGTAGTATGCACCAGTGCCTGTAGCAAGCTCATGATATGACAGGTTTGTGTACATACGTGTATATGTGTGAGTGTAATTGTGTGTAATGTGTGTCCGTGTATATATACACTAAATGATTCTGCGTACGTATAATCAACCAGGTTCTTCTGTGTATGTATAAACCAAGTTTTTACCCACCTGTCGTAGTAGTACCAGTGCCTGTGGTAAGCTCTCGAATATGTCGACTGAGTTCAACCGCGTCGTGATAATGCGCAAGAGCTCAGTCGACTGTTTGTCGTGCAGCACCGACGACAAGTCTTCAACCTGTGAGGGTAAATTTAACAAACAAATAGGAATAAACATATATAAATATTTAATTGATTAATTAATTGTCTGCTATAACAGTTAATTAAAGATAATTGAATAAATATTCAATAAGTTAATTACTTAGTTAAACATAATATATATATATATATATATATATATATATATATATATATATATATATATATATATATATATATATATATAT